CAGGAGGTGCCTGAGTGGCTCAGTGGGTTAAGCCTCTGCCTTCGGCTCAGTCATGATCTTAGGGACCTGGGATCAAACCCCGCTTCACACTCTCTGCTCAGCAGGGAGCCTGCTCCCCCCCCACCCCGCTGCCCCCCACCTGCCTCTCTGCCTACTTGTGATCTGTGTTGGTTAAATAAGTAAAATCTTTAAAAAAAGAAAAGGAAGAAGCCTAAGCAGCACAGTGAGGACCTGTGTGGAGGTTAGGTTGTGATCACTGGCTGAGATTTTCTGGCCCACAACCAAGAGGACTTCTCTGAAGGTTTCAAGAGCTGCAATGAGCTTGGCCTTTGTGGTCTCCAAATGTCCTTTCATGTTGATACAGCGAGGCATCCAGACACACGATTTCCTAACCTGAGATGGGGGGTGGGGCACAGGGGAGAACAAGCATGTGACAGGTTTTGTCAAAAGAACAGGTGCCAGGTTCGGACAAGCCAAGTGGGTGGAACAAGTGGCAGATGGAGACGTTTCCCCATGGCCCTGTCCCCACTGCCAAGTGGGATTCGGGGCCTGAAAGCCGCAGCTCATTGGCAGCTCATTGGTGGAAGACCCAGTCTCTGACTCAAAAGGAGATTCAAAGATAGTAGGAGTCCTTTCATCTTCCTTGCCTTTGAGGTCCAAATATGGTCCCTGTAAGCCTCTGTGAAGAAGCGCTGCATGCTTAAAAAAAAAAAAAAAAAAAAAGGAGGGGGTGTGCCTGGGTGGCTCAGTGGGTTAAGCCTCTGCCTTCAGCTCAGATCATGATCTCAGGGTCCTGGGATCAAGCCCCACATCAGGCTCTCTGCTCAGCGGGGAGCCTTCTTCCCTTCCTCTCTCTCTGCCTGCCTCTCTGCCTACTTGTGATCTGTCTGTTAAATTAATAAATAAAATCTTAAAAAAAAAAAAGTGCCGACTGAGCTGAAGTCATGAGGCCTATCTCAGAACCGTCCACAACTCTGAATGTTTTCACCCAAGACCAAACTCAAGGCAACTTTGAGGTCCACCAAGTTCGGTGAAAACGCAGTCTCTCAACCAGGAACTGCTGGGCTACAAGTTGAGAGCCAGCATCCCGCACGGAGATGAGCCCAGGATTCTCTCTGCTCTGTGTCTGCTCCTTGTTCATGCGCATGGTCACAGCTGACCCATGGTTGCCATGTCGGATACCCACGGATCCCCAGAGATGACAAAGAAAGTTACCCAGAGGCGCTGTGGTGGTGGAGTCGGGCCTGGGCCTGAACCCAGCATCCAGCACCTGCGTCAGCCCTCTGGGCCTCAGAATGGCAGTGTCCTCAACTGTAAAGAGGAAGCCATATTTCCTTGGAGAGTGGTGGCAAGAAAAAAAAAGAACATTTAATAAAGGAGAGCAATAATTCCTTTCAGAATCTGACTGGAAAAGCAATACAGATAAATTATTGAAAAACTTAGAAACCAAACATGAGCAGAAAGAAGAAATTTAAATATATATATATGATATATATCTCTTCATCACCCAGAAATTAACAACCACGAACATGCTGGTATAGATCCTTGATCTGTTATCCATGCCTATGGACATACAGATTTTTTTTTTTTTAAGATTTTGTTTATTTATTTGGCAGAGAGTACAAGCAGGCAGAGCAGCAGACAGAGGGAGAGGGAGAAGCAGGCTCCCCACCAAGCAGGGAGCCCCACTCTGGACTCAATCCCAGGACCCTGGGATCCTGACCTGAGGGGAAGGCAGCCGCTCAACCGACTGAGCCACCCAGGCGCCCCATGGGACACACAGATTTTTTGTTAATGGGGCCGTATTTGGCTACTTGCTTTTCTGCTACTGAGTCTGTTGGAAACATCCCCGAGTCATTACACATCCCTGGGCAACATCCTTTTAAATGACAGTAGACTATTCTGCGGAGAAGCTCGTTCTTGCTCGGAGGTGATTACTGCTGGGGTGCGGGGTAACACACCAGGGCTCTGGTGTGGGAGGCTCCCGCCTCCCCCAGAACGAGTCCGTTAGCTCTGGAGGCTGCCACTCCCGGTGTGAAGGATACACACGGTAACAGGACCGACCCACCAGATTTTCAGAGGGATTTAAGTAGACAGTGTGTGGGAAGGGCTTGGCTTAGTATCTGGTGCACAGACCTCGCTCCGACACCGCCAGCGGTGTCTGGGGCTGTGTTGTTAAACTGGCTCTGAACACTTCTCTTAGTCCCCTTTGAAAGCCCATACTGAACTCCTAACTGGAACTCCTAACTGCGGTTATTGGTAATAAGCACTTCTTCCCTGCCCTCCCTCCATGTACGGGTTTACCGATACTCCACCCCCACCCCCACCCCAGCGCCCGGATCCGGCTGAACAAAGGGCAGTGCGGGCACAGAGGAGCCACAGCGGTCATGGAGCGGAGGCGGCGCGCGGAGCCGGCTGCCAGCCTCGCTCGCTGCTGCGGGACTACCCCGGGGAAAGCCCCCGCCCCGCCCCGCCCCGGGCCGGCGAATCGGCCTCCCAGTGGCTGCTGGCCGCGGCAACCTGCGGGCCGGTGAGCCCGGAGGCTCCGGGAGGTGGGACCTGGCCGCGCCAGGCGGGCAGCGCTGGAGCCGGCCTGGCGGGGGCCGGGCGGTGGGTCCCCCTGCTGCTGGGCCTGCTGCAGTCCACTCTAGGTAAGCGCGGGCGCCGCGGGGCGGGCGGGGGCCGCGGGGCGGCCCGGGGCGCCCACCCGGGGTGGCGGAGCTCCAGGAGGGAGGGACGGGGCTGCGCCCGCCGAGCTGGTGCGATCGTCCCCGCCCACCCACCTCCAGTCGTCTTCTGAATTGGGACTTGGGACGAAACAGACCCAAGGCTTTGAAATTCCTTTCCCGTAGGAAACTGATTCAGTTTCCTCATGCCAATTCCGCTCCAGGTGCACAGGGAAAGACAGTGGCAGTTGGAAAAGTAGCCGCGCTGTTTTATAAAGTGCTGCTTAAAGTTTCCTAAAGGCCCCGTCCCCTGCATGAATACGAGACTGGATCCTCGCTATTAGGGGAAGTCCTGCCCTCCCGCGCAGTCCCCTTCCCTTCCTCCGGCCAGACGGTTTCAGAAGCGCCCAGACTGAGCGGAATCTGTGCGCTGCTGTTACTCTAACAAGCCACCTTCTTTTGTGGGCTCCCACTGGTAAATAAGGAGGCAGGGTACAAAATACTCTAGGCTGGGACCCAACCACCAAACCCCAACCCGTCAGGAGAAGGTCCAATAGAGCCCCCAGTCTTGGACTTCCTGGTCTCAGGCTAACAATTTTAAGAGCAAGAAGGGCCCTTGGGCATCATCTAATGCTAATATCAAAAGCCAATGTTTCTTGAGCAACTTCTATTCCCCTACTTAAGTGGCACAACCCCACCATCCTATGAGGTAGGGACTGTTCTCTCCCTTTTCAAATGGGGAAACTGAGGCTCAGACCCATCAGGGGAGTTACCCAAGAAGGAAAGCGCGGGAAGAGAAGCCTGAAGCTGAAGCAAGCATGGCCAGCTCTGGCTGTGGGATGGGCAGCTGGAGGAAGACCATCGGTCCACCTGGGTCAGCTCATGGATGTTCCAGCCCCAGGCACGTCCACAGCAGGGGATGTCATTGCAGCTGGTAAAGGACAGTGCTTCTGTGTGTATGTGGGGGTGGGGAGGGATCGTCTGTCCCCCTGATTCACTGTCAACTTCAGTAGTTTTCCTATCTGGATCTAACTACACTTTTACCTGGGAAATATTTAATGTACCCGACACAAACCGCTGTTTGTGATGTTTAGGGTAAAGCACAGTCAGATCCAGGTTCAAATCTTGGCCCCCACACAAACTGGCTGCGTAGCCTCTGGCAAATTATTTACCATCTGTCTCTGAGTCTAGTCCCCTGAATGGAAAGAGAGTGACATCCACCCCATAGGGTGGTTTGTCCTAAGGACGGAATGAGGCTTTGTGAAGAAGTGTCAAACCAGTGCCTCCCACCCTTCGAGGGCTCAGTAGCCAGTAACTACTCTAGCTGCTGTTTCTGCTCTGGGCGTGTGCTGCCACAAGATAATTTATAATTCTCAGACTTTGGCCTCTGCGGCTCACCTGCTAGAAAGCTGGGAACAGTGACAGCATCTGCACCCCAGGGATCCAGTTCCAAGTGGGGATCCCAGGATGAGGTGGAAGCTGTATTTAACCCATATTTTAACCCATATTTGGGTTAAAAGGCCAGGGGTAGGGAGCTGAGGCAAGAGCCATCCGTAGACCTGCCCCCTCCCCATTCCCCCCACGCCATTCTGTAACCAGTATGGATTTCCATCATCAATACACATTTAATTTACACATCATAAATATACATAAATACACCCTGTGTGACCTGTATGTATACTTCAGGGAGCTGGATTCTCATAGGACCATGAGCTCCTAAAGGGCAAGAATGGAATTATATTCCTCTTTGGAACTTCTGGTACACAGTGGTCCACAGATGTCATTGGCCAGTAGTGGTTCAGAGATGTTGGAAGGATAAAGTTGAACAAGGCCCCATGAGACCCTCAAGAAGGAAGTATGGTCAAGAGCTCAGGATTTGGAGTTGTCTTGGCCTGGCTTTGGATTCTACTTCTATAACTTATTACCTGACAAGTCTTCTGTTTCCCTCATCTCTAATGTGATGATCACAGTTAGTGCCTACCTCCTAGGGAAGTGGGGAGGATTGAAAAAAAATGGTTAGGACACAATACACATTAGCTGCTACTGTCATCACCATCATCCCCATCACCCTCACTACCACTTCTTAGAGAGGTCAGAGAACTGACATTTGAATCAGGTCTTTAAAAGATTAGATGAGGGGGCGGTACAGGCAGTTAGTGGCATAGCTGTGATCGGAATCCTGGCCCTGGGTGCCCAGCCTACTTCATGCCTCCCATGTTTTAGCTACCCCAGATGACGCCTGCTTCTCAAACTCCCTGAGCACGTGACTACCCACCACACTGCTCATCAGTTCCAGATGGCCTGTGTCAAGACCGGTCAGGAGCTCCAGGCTTCATGATTTCTTTCTCTCCCACAGGGAAGCCCCTTCTCCCCCCTCCCCAGAACGTGACGCTGCTCTCCCGGGACTTCGGTGTGTACCTGACATGGCTCCCAGGGCCTGGCTACTCCCAGAACGTGACCTATTTTGTGGCTTATCAAAGGTAGAGGGGAGCCTCCGGTCTTGTTTGGGGAGCCTGAGGAGGTGGGCAGAAGCTGGAGGGGCTTGTCTGGGACACCTGCACTGGGTGTCGTCAGCTTCCTGGTTCTGTGTCCCACGGGAGACAGCTTGTGGCAGGTGTTTGGAGAGTACGTTGATAAAGGTCTGGAGGTGGGGGAATGATGCTGATTAGGGGACAGTGCACAGGTGTTGGGTCTACTGGGCCTCTGGAGGATCTTTTTTAATTTTTTTATGTTTTTTAAATTAACATATAATGTATTACTTGCTTCAGGGGTGCAGGTCTGTGAATTGTCAGGCTTACACCATTCACAGCACTCTCCATAGCACATACCCTCCCAAATTCCATCACCCAGCCAGCCTATCCCTCCATCCCCCATCCCCCAGCAACCCTCAGTTTGTTTCCTGAGATTAAGAGTCTCTTATGATTTGTCTCCTCCCTGGTCCCATCTTGTTTCATTTTTTCCCTCCCTTCCCCCCCATGACCTCCGCCCTGCCCCTCAGATTCCTCCTATCAGAGAGATCATATGATAATTGTCTTTCTCTGATTGACTTATTTCACTTGGCATAATATCCTCTGGCTCCATCCACGTCGTTGCAAATGGCAAGATTTCATTTCTTTTGATGGCTGCATAGTACTCCATTGTATATATATATACCACATCTTCTTTATCCATTCATCTGTTGATGGACATCTAGGTTCTCTCCATAGTTTGGCTATTGTGGACATTGCTGCTATAAACATTGGGGTGCACGTGCCCCTTCGGATCACTACGTTTATATCTTTAGGGTACATACCCAGTAGTGCGATTGCTGGGTCATAGGGTAGCTCAGGAGGATCTTTGAGAAGAGTTGGAACAGGGCTTGGGTAGAGCTACAGGGACCCAGTGGTGGCATTCTCCAGGGCCTGGATGAGGAGCTTGGAGTTGTTCCAGCTGAAAAGGGAGGGCAGACGTATCTCCTGCAGGGCCTGTGGTGGGTATCCCCGAGGATCATGCTTTTCCCTACAGAACCTTGAGATCCTTCTCAGCCTGGCATTCCAGGCAATCATAACTAATCCAGAGAAATCCAAACGTGGAAACAGATTTGCTGATCTTTGCACATAGATAGCAATCACTTGAGGTTCTTTAGTAAGAGAGTAAGATGATGGAAGCAGGTAGTCAAGAGGACTCCTCTAGGCCGGGTGAGGAGGGCGAAGCAAGAAGGGGTGGTGCGTGCCGAGTATACAGGACCCACCTGTGCCAGGCTGAGTTCTAAAGTTTCACATGAATGTTTCACTTCCTCCTCCCTGTATACCCAGGCAGGTCTGCGCTTCCCCTGTTTTGTTTTATTTTTTCAAGATTTTATTTTGTTTATTTGTGGGAGAGAGAATGCAAGTAGGGGGAGGAACAGAGGGAGCACGGAGCCCGACAGGGGGTTCAACCCAGGACCCTGAGATCAGGGCCCGAGCGGAAATCAACAGTCGGACACTTAACCGACTGAGCCCTGCACTTCCCGCAGTTTTAGAGACCAAGAACCTGAGCTCAGAGAGGGGCTATGATCTGCCCGAGGGAACCAGGGATGGAGCCAGAAGAAAAACCCCAGCCTGTCTGACCCCAAAGCTTACGTGCTTCCTGTTCTGTCATAGTCCCTCCGTCTATAGCATCTGGATGTGAGTAAGAGGGTGGGAGGCCTAGCTTGGAAAAGGGCAGATTGCCAGCAAGCTCTCAAAAGAAAGAACTGTACAGGGATGTATCAGGAGGCAGGAAACACCTAACATGAACTGTGTGCTTGTCGTGTATCAGGCACTGTGTCCACACATTAACCGAAGTTATTCTCACACAGCCCTGTGAGGAGGGGTGTGGCACCTGTGGTCTGCAGTGCAGAAAACAGGGGCGCCCAGAGCATGGTTTGCTCAGTCACGCCACTGAGAATAGTGGAGCCAGGATGGGCTGATTAGAAGTCAAAGTCCATCCTCCAGACCTTTGTGATACTGTCCTTCTCTTTTACACTTTTTGAACACCTGTGAGGATTCTTAAATGATGATATTCTAATTGTATGATTTTTTTCACTTATTAGGTGGAATTATTTTACAAAAAGATGCTTCCTCTCTTAGCATATTTGACATTCAGTATACCTTTCAGATAGGTACTAAATGGTGAAATGGCTGATTCAGGTTTTTGTTTCATTTTTTTGTGCAAGTTTCCAAGGTCATGAATTGGTTCTCTGTCATCTCCCAAGGGTGATTGATTTGGTTTCTTTGTTATCATTATGAACTCTAGTACTTAAACATAGCTGACGGTCTCAATCTAATGCAACTTGTCTACGAATTAAAACTTGAATTATCCCGTTTGGAGGCAGTGAAAAATCCTTTCAAGTTCGGTCCCAAGTCCTTTTATGTTTTTTTTTTTATTTTTTTTAAAGATTTTATTTATTTATTTGACAGAGAAAGAGATTACAAGGGAGCAGAGAGGCAAGCAGGGGTAGGGGGATGCAGGCTCCCTGCTGAGCAGAGAGCCCAATGTGGGGCTGCATCCCAGGACCCTGAGGTCATGACCTGAGCTGAAGACAGAGGCTTAACCCACTGAGCCACCCAGGCACCCTCCGAGTCTTTTAATTTGATGCTAGTAATTTTGGTTATTTTGTTGCTGTTATACCAAAATCTTCCAGGCTCATTTGCACAATCCGGACCTAAAACCTGAATCAGCCATTTCACCATTTAGTAGAAAATGGTTTTAAAGAACAATGTATGTGCTAGCTGTGCTGATCTCCACTTAGCTACTGCTTTCAATCTTTTCAGTAAACAGGATGAGACAGGTAGGTAGGTATACAGATCATTCTAATCCCATCTCTGTTTCTGGCTTCTACTGAGATGGCTGATTAAGTTAACCGTGAGTCCCATCCATGATCTCTGTATCAAATTTCCCAACTATACCCTCACCCTTGGTGTTCCTTCTAGAACTTACTTTCTCATTTTTTTTGCCATATGCATAGGCTGAGAATTTTCCAGTTCTGGTTCCTTTTGGCCTAACAGTGCTTTCTACATACCTCTCTCCTCTCTCCTTTTACCATAAGAAGTAAGGAGAAACCAGGTCACGTCTTCAATACTTTGCCTAGAAATCTCCTCAGCTACATATCCAAGTTCATCACTTTTAACTTCTATTTCCCACAAAACACCAAAACGCAATTCATCCAATGTCTTTGCCACTCTCTAACAAGGATCACCTTTCCCCCAGTTTCCAGTAAGACGTTCTTCCTTTGCATCCAAGTTCTTCCTAGAACCGCCTTTGACTCCCTATCCCTACCAGTAGTCTCTTCAGGGCACTCTGGGAATTTCTAGCATGCACCTGAAAATTCTTCCCGCTTCTAGACATTCCCCAGTTGCAGAGCCACTTCCACATTTTTTGCTATTTCTTACATTAGCACCCTATTTATGGTACCAAAATCTGTCTTAGTCTGCCAGAGCTCCCAAGACAAAATACCATAGCCTGGGGGTTTGAACAACAGACTCATACTTCTCACACTTCTGGAGGCTGGAAGTCCAAGATCAAGGCGTCCCTAGGTTTGCTTTCTCCTGAGGCCTCTCTCCTTGGCTTGCAGATGGTCGCCTTCTCTCTCCGTCCTCATGTGGCCTTTTCTCTGTGTGAGAGCGTGCCTGGTATCCCTTTCTCTTCCTTAAAGGATATAAGTCCTATTGGTTTAGGGCCCCACCCTTATGACCACATTTATTCCTCATTACCTCTTAAAAGGCCCTATCTCCAAGGGCCTATACAGTCATACAGGGGGGTTAGGGCCTCAGCATATGATTTGGGGGGAAAACAATTTAGTCCGTAATACCTAATAAACTGGATTTCATCACATTTAAAACTTTTACTGTTTAAAAAAAAAAAAGCCTGAAGAAAATGAAAAAAACAGCTACTATTTAAAAAAAATATTCACCATATATATACACTGGAAAAGGAGTAGTATCCAAAACAGATAAAGAATTCCTGCGTCTTATTAATAAGAAGACAGATCACCCAAAAAGACTTGAATCGTCATTTCACAAAGGAAGATACTCAAGTGGCCAAAAAGTACATAAGAAGATGGTCAATAGCCTTAGTCTTCAGGGAAATGTGAATCAAAGGTACAATGAAAAACTACCACACACCAACTAGAAGGCTTAAAATGAAAGGGATTGACAATACTAAGTGTTGACAAGCATGTGGAGGAAATGGAATTCTTGCGTTGTTGGTGGAAATGTACAGTGGCTTTGGAAATCAGCTCCACAGTTTCTTGTCATGTTTCACCTTCAGTTGCCAAATCTCCCAGATTCTACTCCTAACGTGTTATTTATGAGAAATGAAAAGCTACGTCCATACAAAGACTTGTACATGAGCATTCATACCAGTTTAATTCATAACAGCCCTGACATGGACTGAGTCATATGCCAGCATATTCGTGTGCTGAAGCCCTAACCCCCTGACATGAGTATATTTGGAGATGAGGCCTTTCGCAAGGTAATTAAGATTAAATGCAGTCATAAGGATGGGCCCTCAACCAAGGGAACTATGTGCTAACATTTTTGTTCATATTTTGTTTCACGTGTGGCTCAACTAGTTCAGTTCTATTTATGTTCATTAGACCAACTTTGATAATTACCTTTTTCTTTTTTGTGTATTTTACATACCTACTGCTTATTTTTCTTTGTTCAGTCATCAATTACTGAGTGAGGTGTATTGAAAATCTCTCATGATGATTGTGGATTTTCTGTTTCGTCCTACAGTTTTGTCTGTTTTTGCCGTATAGTGTATGTAGCTGTTTAGCAGGTAGATAAAAGAGAATTTTTATATCTTCCTGAGAAATGAAATAATTTCTCATTTTGTGGTGGTTCTTCTCGTCTTTCATATTTCTGTGAACTTTGAAGTCTATATTTGGTCTCATATTAATATAACTACACCAGGGTTGTTTTAATTATTATTGTTAATGTTTACATGCTATAGCTCTACCAAGAAACAAAACAGAGGAATTCTTCCCCCAAAATCTGTTCACTTTGCCAAACCCATCTCAGCCTCCTCCATTCATGTATTACTCGGTGCCCAAACCCAGGAGTGACTGTGGATTCTCCTCTCCACGTGTTCCACATCCAATCCATGAGCAGGTCCTACCGACTTTACCTCCAGAACATATCCCCAGTCCAGCCCCTTCTCGCCAACCTCACCTCCGTTCTCCCTTAGACCACTGCTGCAGCCTCCCAGCTGCTTTATCAGAGTAATCTTTTATTTTTTTTTAAGATTGATTTATTTATTTGAGAGAGGGAGAGAGCATACGTGCACACAAGAGCCAGTGGGGGAGGGGAAAAGGGGGTGGGAGAGGAAGAGAATCTCACGCAGACTCCCCACTCAGCACAGAGCCCCATGTGAGGCTTGATCTCACAACCCTGAGATCGTGACATGAGCCGAAACCAAGAGTCAGATGCTCAACCAACTGAACCACCCAGGTGCCCCAAGAGTGATCTTTTAAAAACAGAAATTAGATCGTCTCAGGTCCCCTATTCAGAACTTTCCAGTGACTCCCTAGCACGCTTGGAATAAAATACAAGCTCCTTACCAGGATGCGGAGGCCCTACCTAATCTACCCATCCACCCCTCCCCCCACCTCTCCAGCCTGTGCGTACATCTCCCTCCCTTGCCCACTGGCCTGCCGCCACGCTGACCTCCTTGCTTTCTTCCGGACAGGTCAAACTCCTTCCCACTGCAGGCTCTGCTTTTGCCATTCCTTCCCGCAGGCCTACCCTGACTTCCTTGCTATCAAGGCCTCAAAACGACCTTCCTGGCCTACCTTTGGAAAGCAGTCCTCCCCCATTCCCCATTCCCGCTGCCCTTACCCGCTCCTGGGTTCGCCTCGCTGGTGGGATGATTGTCTTTCTCCCCTTCCCACCAGAATGGAAGTTCCCGAGGGCAGGACCTGTCAGGCCTTGCCAGTTCCCCAAGAATAATGGCCAGTATGCAAGTCCCTTCTTCGGACCCCAGTGACGTCTGAAGGTTGGCATCACAGACGTGCGTGTCCCCTCTTACAGCCACACAGCACCCACCACGATGCCTGGCACACAGCAGGTGGCCTGAAAGGCCTGAATGAAGAACAAGGGAACCGGTTGCTAGCACTGACAGTAGCGGCCACCACGTGGCCCTGGGGAGGCACGTGGGGGGGGATGACCCACTGAGGCCCCAGAGCTAGTGAAGGACGGAGCCAGGATCCCAGCACCTGCTTCTCCCAGAGCCTGAGCTCCTAAATAGACTGTTCTCATTCTGTCCTAGCCCATGGCTGGCTAGTGGGACAGGCAGACGGGTGGACAGTCGGGCAGATGGAGGGACAAGGGAGCACTTGTTCGCTTAGCCCTCTCACCCCAGAGGCTGAGTCCACAGCCCAAACTCCCCTGTCTCCTCCCTCAGCGCTGCGACCCCCAGACGGTGGAGAAAAGTGCAGAAGTGCGAAGGAACCAAAGCGCTGGTGTGTTCTTTGATGTGCCTGGAGAAACAGGACCTGTACAACAAGTTCAAGGGGCGCGTATGGGCAGCTGCTGCCAGCGCCAGGTCCCCCATGGTGGAGTCCAAGTACCTGGACTACCTTTTTGAAGGTAAGTCTGTGGTTAAGGGACCTGGTGGGAGATTCCTTGTCCAGGAACTTTGGCTAAGTGGCCCTGCTGTCCTGGCCACCGTCTCCCACGTCCCCAAAGCAAGGACAGCCACATGTAGCCTGGCTTCGTGGCAGTGGCTTAGGGGACTTCTGCCAGCACCAACAATTCCATTTACACCTCTTTCTAGCGATGCTCTTTATCTTCTAGCGAGTACAACCTTAGTCATGAACTACGCGAGGCATTTTATATATTCATTCTTATTTTTTATGTTCAAATTCTCTTTAAGAAACAATATTTGGGGGGCACCTGGGTGGCCCAGCCAGTTAAGCATCTGCATTCAGCTCAGGTCATGATCTTGGGGTCTTGAAGTCAAGCCCTGCATCAGGCTAGGGAGTCTGCTTCTCTCTCTCTCCCTCTACCCCTCCTCACTGCACCCCCACCGCCACTTGTGCTCTCTGTCTCAAATAAATAAACAAAATCTTTTTAAAAAAGGAAACAATTTTTAAATTCCAGCTTCGAAAGTAACTTCTGTGCACTGTAGAAATTGGGGCGGGGGAGAGAAGGAGAGAAAAATAGAGAGGAAAGCATCCCCCACGGGTACCGTATTCAGAAATCACCAGTGTTAACACTGAACCAGGAGAGTACTTTTCTCCTCCCAGTGTATTTTATTTCTAATCCTAATGACAAACCTGTGCAGTTCCTTTTCATCAACCCATTAAAAAAAATAATAAAGTACGATTCACAAAAGCTAAGGAACTTACCAGGATACACAGCTAATGAGGGGTAGAGATGGAATAAGGATCTGGATCTTTCTAATCTTGGTCATGGTACTGGACCAGACCAAGAGTGAGGAGGGGTAATAAGGAGAAGAGAAATATTCAGACAATAGCCTCTCGGAGCTGAGATCTGTAACTTGCTGCCCAGTCTTCTCAAAATATGTGAGCACAGAATATGGCTTGGAGAGAGAGGAGAAAGGGCTTGAATGAAAGGTAGCAGGGAGGGATAGTAGAAAGGAAGAGCTAACCTGGGTACGAGAAGCTGGCTGGGTAGATGGATAAGAAGGGGAGAAGGGAGGGGGTGCAGGAGGTTACAGCAGAGACGGGGAAGGAAGAAGGCTGCCTGGAAAGACATAAACTAATTGGAAATGAATCACATGTGGATGGGAAGACGGAGGACAGGAAGGAAAGGCAGATGAATGGATCCATGGGTAGATAGAAGGATGGGAAGAGGGAAGAGGGAAGAGGTGGAAGGACAGGGGGAAAGGGGAAGGCAAAGGAGGAAGGAAGGGAACAAGGACAAGATGGAACGATGTATGGAAAGTAAAGAATGGGAGGGTAGGGAGGAAGGAAGGCAGGGAAGTAGGGGGCTGGCTAGCCTAAAGGCAGGAAGACAGTCTAAAGGAACAGGGAGAAAGAAAGGAGTGTTGGTTGGTAAGAAAGGAAGGATGGGCAGGCAGGCAGCCAGGCAGGCTAGAAGAGCGAAGGACGAACCAGTAGTTGGGGGGACAGGGATAAGCGAGCAGGGTGGAAGGAAAGATACAGCGAGGAGGTTACTTTTTTATTATTATTAATTGTGTGTTTGCCTCCTCCTCCCTGAAGCTCTCCTGACTCTCCCACAGCACACCCTCAAGCCAGAATGAGCCTTCCTGACTTTTGCCACCCTCGGCTGGGGCCCTGGTCATTTACTCTCTTGAGTTTTGATAGTTGCGTATTTCATTGCCCCCTAATTTCCTCCAACTCCTGGAGGTCAAGATCCCCGTTCCCTCCAGCTTCCTGTTCAGGGCTTAATATGTTATCAGTGTCCCCGGACTCTGACCTACAGAACTGGGAAGTAACACATGTGTGTTGTTTTAAGCCACCCTCTTTGTGGTGATGTGTCAGCAACCGTAGAAAGTGCCAGGAGACAGGATTCTGACAGACCCGTGGTACGTGCAGGCACCCAGGTGCAGGGGGCAGCAGGAGGAAAGGCAGGTGAGCTGTGAGCCTGGCCTGTTCATTTCACAGTTTGCCCTTCTGAATGATGAGAATAGTGGTGTCTCCCTCCCAGGGTCACTGCAAAGCTGAAATAAAATGACTTTAAGGCTCTTGAGGCATAGTAGGTGCTTAACAAACACCAGAGCCACTTTGCCTTTTCGGGAGTGTTCTCTGAGTTGGGAGGTGGGGGCAGAGGGCAGAGTGGGAGGGCAGGCCTGCCTGGAGGCAGGGGGATGGATGCTGATAGGTCCTGTTCTGTTTCTGCCAGTGGAGCCAGCCCCACCCGCCCTGGTAGTCACTCGGACAGAGGAGGTCCTGAGCATCAATGCCACCTATGAGCTGCCCCACTGCATGCCCCGACCGGATCTGAAGTATGAGGTGGATTTCTGGAAGGAGGGAATCAAGAACAAGGTAAAAAGCCCTTTTCCTGCCTCCCAGGCTGGACCTCCCTCCCCCACTGCCCCTCCAAACCCCAGTGCCTCTCACCCTGCCTGCCTACTTTTTGCACACCTCCTCCAGGAAGCCCTCCCCACATACCTCTCACTCCTGGCAGTCACCCCTGACTCTGTAGTCAGGCCCTGATTGGCCTGTGCACCATTCCCCGACCCCGCCACCTCCCTTCTCCACCTAAGAAGGCAAATATAAGATGTCCTGCCCGTGCACATTATAGGTAGTAACAGCACACCCGTTTTCTATCCAATATATATTTTTTAAATTATGAAACCCTTTTTGTCCAATGAAAGCTGATTGAAGTATGATAGGCCCTAGGAGTCCTGCTTGCCAAGCCACTGGTTTCATTACCAACAAAAAAATCAGAAAACACAGATACATTCTTGGAAGGAACCTAAAAGCACCCAGAGACTACCACAAATACCCAGCTTCAGACTTGTTTCTCATGTACGCACGTGTGTGTGTCTGTACATATTGCTTGATGGCAGGGGTTGGCAAACGTCTTCCGTAAAGGGCCACATAGCAAATATTTTCTTACTTTGAGGGTCACGTGGTCTGTCCCGCTAGTGGACTCTGCTTCTAACACAGGAAAGCAGCCACAGACGATGGGTCGATAAATGGGCATAGCCGTGTTCCAGGGAAATGCAATGTGCAGAAAAAAAAGATAGCAGGCCAGATTTGACCCATGGGCTGTAATTTACTGACCCCTTTTCTTATTCCTTCTTTCTTTCACGGAACCCCCCAACATTCACACTCCTGACCACTTGCTCATATATTCTGGACCCTAGATCTTCTTCCGACACTGTCCTGTCTCCAGGACCCTTGGGTAAAAATATAGTGGGAGTCATGGGTGTCATGTTAAATGTTCCTCATTAAATTCTGTAAAAGAAACAAGTTCATTTAATTTTAATAATATATTTCATCTCATCCAATAAAATGTTATCATTTCAACATGTAAATAATATAAAAGTTACTGACAGGTTTCACATCCCTTTTGCACAGAGTCTTTGAAAGCCGATGTGGATTTTACACTCAGAGCTCATTTCAGTTTGGACCAGGGGCTGCTGGACTGGGCAGGGCAGCACTGGAGTTTTCTGGGTCCGTAATGACCGAATGACTGAGATGCTCCCTACCCCCCGGATACATTGGGAGGCCCTGAGGGTGGAAAGCCTGAGGAATCTGGCCTCCAAAATGGGGACCTACATGCCCCAGGGGCAGCGGGGTGCCCACAAAGGTGACCATGAGGGACAGGGCGGTTTTGAGTGCTCACCTTCTCTACTTGAAGACTCAGTGGAGAAGACACCAGCTAATGTTGCCTCCTCATGATTAGACTGTAATGCAGGGGAAGAAGAGGCAGGGATCCCAGGTGTATCCTTCCACCCCACCCTGTCCTGTCCCCACAGCGGGTCTGCCCACACCCCCTGCCATTTTTCCACAAACAGACGCGATTTCCAGTCACCTCCCATGGCCAGCCAGTGCAGATCCCCCTGCAGCCAGCCGCCAGTGGCCACTACTGCCTCAGCGCCAGGACCATCTACACCTTTGGTGATCCTAAATACAGCGAGTTCTCCAAGCCCACCTGCTTCTTCCTGGATGCCCCCGGTGAGTGCCGAGTGGTAGAGTGAGGACTTCCCTGCCCCACTGGGACATATTATCTCCATCCTATGGTGGTTAAGAGTGTTAAGTCCGGAAATAGACTCCCCTCGATTAGAATCCCAGCTCCACTGCACTCACTCTGTGTCTTTGGGTAGCTTACATCACCTCTCTGAATCTTGGTTTCCACAGTCTGTAGGATGGGTTTACTCTTATGAGAATTACACGGGGTAATGCATGTGAAGCCCACAGCACCCATACAGTTAGAGATGGGAGCCATGGTCATTGTTTCTGCAGTTCTTTTTTTTTTTTAAATGATTTATTTATTTGAGAGAGAGAGCGTGTGCACACACACGTGTACAAACTGGCAGGGGGAGGATAGGGGGAGAGAATCTTTTAAGCAGACTCCCTCCTGAGTGCAATCCCATGAGATGATCCTCTGAGATGGTCACTACCTAAGCCAAAACCAAGAGTCATATGCTCAACCAACTGAGCCACCCAGTTTCTGTAGTTCTTATTTTTCCTCACTTAGGAGCCAGCTGGGCATTCCTGGTGCTGCTACCACTTCTGCTTCCCCTGCTGTTGGTCATTGCCATAGGCTTTGTGATCTGGAAGAGCTTCAGAGAGAACCCCTGGTTTCAGCAGGCAAAGATGCCATGGGCCCTGGTATGACAAGACTGGGCATGTGCAACAGAGGGGGAGGGTTGTTGAAGAATAAGGAAATGGGGCTGCACTTAAAAACATGAGTCAGATAGAGTATCAGTTAGTCCAGACTACAAAAATCTCCTATTTTCATGTCTAAATTTCCACCATTAGTAATTCCTTCCTTTGGCAGCAAATTCAAATGGCAAATATACCTGGGAGGGAGACGTGCCTTAAGTCCCCATAGTGAAATCCTCTCTGCTATGGATTTGTCAAGTGCTGAGAGCAGAACCCCCAGCCTTGGGACTCAGGAGGGATGCCCAGAAGTGGGAGGGAGAGAGGGTGGTGCCAGAAGGGGAAATCTTAAAAGGATCCCAGCACTGAGTTCACAGTTTAACCAAGGGTGTGTCTTGCCCAGGCTGATCCCGGAATCTCCTCACTTGTCTGCCGAGTCACTCCCTTAGAAGATGGGGCAGGGGAAAGCCTGGAGAGGTCAGATGGGTCTGACTTGTTCAAATGAGGGCTTGGTGAGGCTGGCTAGGCTGTAGGTGCAGCTCAGTGGGCCCTCGGGTCAGGATGGCTTTGAGGATGGATTTTGGGTACCTGCTGCCCAGAAGTGTTTTCAAAGTCCCTAGCTCTGGGACCTGCAGGGAAATCCTATCTGAACTACAAGCTGTGTGTTAGACATTTCTGTGCTCTGCCACACCCCTCCCCCTGCTCATTACATGGAAAGTCACCACTCAGCTTCCAGCAGCCAGCACCTGCCCCAGGGGGCTTCCTCTGGCCTCTGGTGTCCACTGCGTCTGTGCACGTGGCTGGATGGGGAACCAGCATCACTGTCACTCTTCCCACCCTTCACTCGATGGTGCCCTGAGGTACGTGGGCTGCACTGGCTTCCAGCTGCCCCCTAGGGGTAACTTGCCTGACGACAGCCTCTCTTGGTGGCTCTCCCCCAGCCCTAGTGAATTTTCCCTTACTGGTGTTTCCTGGGATCACTTCCCAAAAGAACTTACATTTGACTCCTTGTCTTGGGGTCTGTTGTCAGGAGAACCCATCCTTCAGGAAAGCCCGATTTTCTGTTCTTTTCTCCCCTCCCCAAATCAGGACTTTTCTGGAAACAGATACCCCGTGGCAACCCTTCATCCCAGTGGTCCTGAGCCCCTGGATACCTTGACCCTCTGTCCCCAAAAGGAACTGACCGGAAGGGTCCGGCCAAGCCCCGGAGTCAGGACCCCAGCCACCATCCAGGCAGGACCAGAGAAGAACAGTGCTGAGGAGGTGGATGATGAGGAGGACACAGACGACAATGTCAACTTTCAGCCCTACCTTGAACCACCCTCCTTCCTAGGGCAGGAGCACCAGATCCCGGGAAACTCTGCGGCAGGGGACACCTGGAGCCCTCCTGTCCAGGTCGAAGGCTGGTCTGCTACGGATGCTTCAGACAGAAGCTGGACCAGTGTGGGGGGCTCCTCCCCCTGGGATGAGTCTGAGTCCTCTTGCTATTTGGCCAAGAAGACGCCAGGCCAAGGGCCAGGTGGGGACAGGTGTCAGGAGCCTCTCCCACTGCCTGAATTCTCCAAGGACTTGAGTTTCCTGGAAGATCCCCAGAAAGATGACCTCTCCTCCTGGGCCAGCTGGGGCTCTTTCTCACCAGGGCTGGATCTGCTCCCTGGGGAGCCCCCAGTTTCTCTCCACACACTGACCTTTTGCTGGGACAGCAACCCTGAAGAGGAAGAGGAGGAGGAGGAGGACGAAGAAGAAAGTGAAGATGGAGGAGGAAGGGAATCAGAAATTAAGGATGACAGTCCTGGCAGCTGGGGGGCCGGGAGCCTACAGAAGACTAAGGTCAGAGGTCGGACCCTGGGACATTACATGGCCAGGTGAGCCATTCCCCAGCTCCACCCCCCACCACATCTGGTGCCACTGAGCTTTCCTAGGACCGAGATGCCACTGAGACTTGAGAGTCTGGGAGCATCACCACTGAGGACATGGAGGGTTCTTGAAGCATTTCGGAAACCCCAGGGTTGTTGTCAATTGCCTTGAGCAGTAAGAAGCCACTGCATCGTCTTTGACTCACCAGCTTTGGGCTGAGCTGAGGGAGGGGTGGAGACAAGAATGGGCTGAGGTCAGAGGTTGGTTGGGTGTTTGTATCACCCCCACTGCCTTTGGAGTGACAGGCCAGTTAGGAGAATCATCCCTGAATAGCATGAAACTGGTGAAGTCAGGTCACAGTGGACACCAGAGGCTGTCCTGACATCACATGGGGCCATCTGGATCTGGCGGGAGGGAAATGGGAGCACATCTTTGTCACTGTCATGTCTTTCTCTGGCACCTGCCGAGCTCCCCCACCCACAGGTCTCAGCCTCCTAGTTCATGAATTGTCTTGGGTGGGCCCCAGTAAAGAAAGATCTAGTAAGCAGGGGATGTTGGAGAGGAAGGGAGAGGGTAGTCATTATTCAAATCCCAGCCTCTGACTCATGGAATTACATACCTTTTATGATCAGATGACCTGGATTCAAATCCCAGCTCTGACGTTTACCAGTCATGGGACCTTGGGTAACCCACCTTCCTTCACTCTACCTAGGTTTTCTCAACCGTTGCTGAGAGTCCCAAGAGAGAGACGTGTAGTGTGGTGCCTGGCACATCACTGGTACTCTCTGCATGGTGGCTGGTGGGCTTCTCCATCCTCCCAGGCTCTGAGAAGACTCCTGGGCCCCTCCCACCTGTGACCCCTAAACTCTGAGCAACTAACATTCACCTTTTAGCGGGTCTCACCTCCGATCTACCTCCTGCCTTCTACCCTAACTTCCTCTCTCCTCTTGGTCAGGAAACTGCACTCTCAGAAGCCAGAGCCCAGCCAAGAGGGACCCTGACCCTTCTCCCCTTTCCCGGAAAAGAAGGAACCAAATGATCCACCTTCCAGGGGTCTGCTTTGTTGGGGTCGCAACCCGGCAGAGAAATGGACTCTTGGGCTGTGATCCCTGTCTTTGACAGCACTTTAGGCAGACTCCTTAATTATAAAGAAGTCGCATTTTCCCTTCTAGTTGCAGAAGTTGCTAGAAGATTCTAGAAGATGCTAGAAGAATCCAGCATCTTCTAGCAGCGGGTATGTTAAAGGTGAGGGAGAAGCAGTAAAGCATCCCCCAAACTGAAAGGGCACTTCGAGACCAGGAGATGAAGGAGGCCACTGCATAGAGTTTATGCACAGTTTTATTCAGGGTAACTCACTGACGGGGGTATTGGGTGGAGGGTAATCCGTGCAGAGGCATAGTTACTCTGTGCAAAATCCAGGCCTCAGTCCGCAGGTATAATAGAGCCAGGGGACATTCAGAAGGGCATTGTGCTGAGAGCAGAGGGTTTGCACACACAGAGGGCTGGATCACACCTCCTTGACAGCTAACTTATCATTAGATCCTCTGGCACCACCTGTACGTCAGGAAGGGGAGTCTATGTTATCTCTAAAGGATTCATGGGAGGCCAAAACAAGCCTCCTTCCCTCATCCCGGCCCTGGTGGGCATTTCTAAGGTGTGTATATGAATCTTCAAGAGCCCAGAACACATAGCCTCAAGAGAGGTCATGGAGCGAAAGGGAACAAGATGGAGGGCCAAAGATGGAGTCCGTATGGTCAGCGCCCCTACAAGGGGACTCTCCTTACCTGGGGGCTGGTGCTGGGTGTTCTCAAGCCACTGCCTTGGGAATCCATCCCTACCAGCATATGGGCAAGCAGAGCTGAGTCTGTACCCACAGGGACCAAGATTTTTGTCATTGTGTGGCTGGGCTCTGAACCATCATGGTTCTGTGACTTGGGCCCTGCCATTTAACTGCCAGGACTTACATTTCTCCATTTCTGAAGAAAGCATCTTCGTAGCCATTTTCCCCATGGAGCTGTGTTGTTTTGAAGGCAATATGAAGGTTGACCGTTAAATGAAAGATCTAGAAATGGGCATCTGCTCCAGGGCTTCTCAAGCCATGTTCCCAAACGGTTCTGGGTTTCATGGAGGGAGTCCCAGTCGCAGGGGGAACCATGGGCCATAGGATCCCCCACTTCAACCAGAGTGGCCTCCCTGAGCCCTAGTGTACCCCCATGGCGTTCCGTGTGAGGGTGTTTAGGGGGTTCCATGGCTCAAGAAGTCAGCAAACCACTTTTTTTTTTTAAGATTTTATGTATTTATTTGAGAGAAAGACCACAAGTGAGGTGAGGGGCAGAGGGAGAAGCAGACTCCCCATTGAGCAGGGAGCCCAATGTGGGATTCGATGCCGGGACTCCAAGATCATGACCTGAGCCGAAGGCAGACGCTTTACAGCCGAGCCACCCAGGTCCCCAGAAAACCACTTTTTTAATTGAATACCTGTCTTCTGTTTCAAACAAATGTCAACTCACTATGCATGTTCGTAAGGGTGAGATGTCTGGTCTCTGGCCAACTGGGTCAACCCGTGTGCCCTTGGCCATGTCAACAAAGCGTGGGGATCCTCAGCAAGGATTTCCAGGAGCACAAAGCTGGCAAGAGGCTTTCACCACACTGGGACTCACACATCCATGCACACACACGCACACAGGCAGACACACACGTGTGTATGTCCACAGGAGCTGAGGCTTGTCCGCGTCCCTAAGCACAGAGAAGAGGAAGGGCATCTGGGACCCAGCTGAGCTGCTGCATGGAAGTAATTTCGAAAAACTAAAAGCTCTCATCACTATTGTCTTAGGTCTCTGTGAAGGAACTACATTATCTCTTTTCTTAAACCTTGTTATTTTTTTAAGCATTGCTTTCAAAATTTCATTTCTGAGAGAGGCTGAGTTTTTTAGTAATTCTCAATGCCAGCTCTTTTATCATCATTAAGTCATTAACAAAAAGCCATGGGAAGCATTAGGAAAGAGCGCGATGTTCAATGTCATAATTTGTCAGGTGCGCTCAGCCCTTAACTGTTTACAGAGCCCTCTCCTGCACCCGGTCGGGGGTGCCTAGCATGAGCTCTGGGGCCAGCTGGAAGGATGGGTGGGGGATACCCTAAGCTAAAGTCACACTGTGATTCTTTAGTGCCCTGAGATTATGCACTGTTTTTAGGTATTTGTATCCATGTCTAATTTTGTTCTGTGTTGATATTGTATTTAAATAATTTCCTAATGGTCTTGGGCATTTACCCTAAACTGTTCTAAATAAAAAGCTTTATTTTTAGAGAAAATGGCAGGATTGCATGGAGAGATGTGTGTGGTCTTATTTCTTGAAAGCTCCTCCCCATTCATCTAGCTCTTAGACCACATGGGTCTTGCCTTGGGTCCCCAGCCACAGACCCAGAGACTGGGATGTGGACATATAAAGCAGTGCTGGGATTCCAGAAAGCACCAACAGGGGAGTGGGAAGCCAGGCAGGGAGGGAAGACAGCCTGTCCAGGTACATAATGAAACATATCACTGCTTTGGGCAGCTGGAGTTCAGTCCCCGCCTAAAGCAGGGCTTTAGGGGTTCAGTGTGGGACTCTCCAGATTTGTTCGTCCAGGAGCATGATCTGGGGAATGTATCCCTCAACCCTGTCAGTCCTATGCAGAGGGCCACTCCCCGCTGTGAGTCCTTGATCTGTGCTGTTGGAATCCATCGAGCTGAGTGCGTGAGAAATATGAGTACCTCGAGGTCGGGGGAAGAACACCCAGGTCACCAGCTACAGTGAGGCCCATGCTGTGCCCACGACCCTGGCATCTCACCCTATTGCAACTAAGGTCTGGGGAAGGATACAGAACGTCTTCTGCGGCCAGCCTGGCAAACCTGAACTCATTCCAGTAGATCTCTGATGAGAAGCTCCTGGATTCCAGCGACTCTCCCAGGACTGCCTGGTAACTGACCAGCATGGTGCCTGCAAATTGCTATCATCTACCTGGGCCTGGGCTGGTGCTAGACCCAAGCTGACCCTATCCAACAAGTCTCTCTCCATGGAATTCAGAAGTCTTGGCTGCCTGGATCTAGAACAGATAAGTTCCAGCCTGCTGTGGCCCCATTTCCCTCTCCGAGGAGCAGGAGAGCACAGCGTTCAGAAGAAACAAGAACGAGGCAGCCCAGGGGCCTGCCGAGATGAGAAGTGATAAACACTGGATCCCGTCCATTCCTGAGGCCCAGCTGTCCCCCAGCTGTCCCCAGCTTCCCAGCACCATAGTTTTAAATCAGCTCCCTGGGCTGCCAGTTCCTTGTAACCGAATATCCTGGTCAACTCACAAAGGGACCAGACCGTGCATGTTACAGCTTGTGATCAGGTCGGAGCATCTGACCCTTGAATGGATGTGCGGTAGGTCCTTTCCAGAACACAGGGCAGAAGTTCCTCTCCAAGTGATCCCCAGTCACCTCCCAGCCTGCCCTCGGATGCCAGGTCACCTTTGGAGGGACTCTTGGACTGTTTGCTGCCCACCTGGCAGCCAGGGGGGTTAGCAGGGCTGCTGGATCGCACGGGTTCCTGGAGCTGGGAGAGGGGAGGGTTAGTGTAGCAGGTGTCACATCCTGAGAACTCCTTGAGGGAAGGGAGGGTTTTCCTCCTGGCACTAGCACCTGGCAAGGGGTGGGGGCTTGGTGTTGAATAAATTAATGAAGGAATGAACAAGTGAATTGACCTATGAAAGGGAGTCTGTAGGGGCTGGCTGTGGCTCAGTTCCATATAAGGTAGCCAGAGCTTTGCATAGTAGATGACACCATCCCACATCTTAAATTCTTGTGAATAACCGTCCTCCCTCAGCCCAGCTTCTGCTCTGAGGGGAGGGGAGCCGGGGATCAATGCTGCTCATTGAGTGAAATGGTGAGGAAGGGAGCAGACACGGGAGACAACACAGTACCTTCACCCCCTAATTGTAACTTCTTATTTCCCATCATCTGGGACCTGATCGAATGGCTATTTGCTTGCAGCTTCCTTGGGTTCATTCACTGTGTGCACCAAGTAGGGTTAATGGGATGAGAGTTGGGGGGGGCGTTAAAAAAAAAGACTTTCTCTAAATGAGTGAGTCAGATCCTCAAGTCCATTACTCAAGAGATCCTGCTTGGTGCCTGGACCCATTCCAGCCCAGGCAGCCCCACCCCTTGGCATGTGATGATACGGAATGCAGAGGTCTGACAGCTTTTTATAAATTATCAAGAGGTTTTTTTTACCCCCCTTCATTGCCTCTCTAAGTGGATGAGGAGGACGAGGCAGGGATCTCAAGGTAAGACCATCTCAGGGTACCCTGCCATGGTAGGAAAAATCACCAGCAGGTGGTGGGAGGCCCCTGTCCAGGGGCCGATGCCTCCAGGGCAAGTCCTATCAATTCTGGAAAAGAAAAGCCCACTCCACAGAAAGCCTCGGCTTCTCTGGGTGCTACAGAGACATCTCAGCAGCCAGATTCCACTAAGGGCTCAGACTCCCTGCACCCCAATTCCTATCTCTGAGCTCCAGGCCCTCTCGTGGAATGCCCCCCCCACTCCAGCCACAATGCCTAATCTGTAGGATCAATGCCCTCACTTCTCCCATCCCTTGGAATTTGGCCTCAGAAACTACAGAAAACTCAGACTCCTAAGAGAACATTTATCACTCCCCCCAACCCCGTGCCCAGATGCCCAAGAGTCCGGGTTTTTGCAAAGGTTTTTAAAGGCCCTCCCTTGGTCTTTGGTTCCTCATTTTGCAACAGGAGACTCCCGTGAGAGCGCCTCCTCAGAGACCGTCCAGAGACACAGGCATGTTCAGTCCTCCCAACAACACTGAAGAGAAAAGACCTCCGCTTCCCTTTTGCAAATGAGAAACCTGGGGGTCAGAGATTAAGCTACCTGCACACCTCAGGTTCAGTGGCAGAGTGGGGATTCGAACCCGGGTCTATGTGCCCAGAGCCCATGTTCTATTCACTTCCTGGCTCCTGGGGCACACAGGAAGCTGGACACCCAATTCTTGCATGAGACACAGATCTCCTTAATGTTTTGATGAAAAGCACGTTCTT